TTTTGTCCACTAGGGTATGTTAATATCCTCATAATACCTGTATTCGAAGTAAAAAAAAAAAGTTTCCTTTTCACTCGTAAGGTTTTGAATAATCATCTCGAAGAATAGGCAAATTGTACACGTGAGAACCGTTCGTTAACTTCAGGATGTATTCAATGATTTAGGGTTACAGTACCAAATTGACGTCATTTGCTTACCTTCTATATATGGTTGTTTCACAGAGACCTCTTTATTTAAATTTTAGTCCCTAACCTAAAGCATATACACCAGGAAATTCCAGTTCCAAAATTAAAATGTTCACTTTTCGGCAAACTTTCAGTGTTGATGCAATTAGAATATTGGTTGTAAACTAATAACTATAAAAAAATAAACACGTGTACACAATCTTCTTCTTGGTTCAAAATGTCAAAACATGATTTTTAAAATATAATACAACCCCGAATAAATCTGTGTACAAACGTGTGTGTGTATGCGATCTTATTTGATTGTTTTATGTAATTATATTTACATAATTAGGAGGATGTTCCCTGTAATAAGTGTACGCTTCACGGGATTGGATCCCAAGAAATATTATACCGTTTACTTGGACTTCTTTTTGGCGGATTGCTACATCTGGAAATTCAACAAAACCCACTGGATACCCGTAGGCCCTACCGAGCCACAGTCACGACGTAAGTATTCTAGTTTATTTATTGGGTCAAATAGTTTTTAAAGGTTGCTGGTGTTATTCACTTCCAGTGTACCCAAAGGGTTATATTGAATTAGTAACTATAAATGGTTAATTATTGAATTATATCGATTCTGATCAATGAATCGTAATTAGTATACAATCACTGGTGATTAACTAACGTATATTTTAACTAGTGATCTCTGTATAATTAGTATACAATCACTAGTGATTAAGGAACGTATATTTTAACTAGTGAACTCTGTATAATTAGTATACAATCACTAGTGATTAAGGAACGTATATTTTAACTAGTGAACTCTGTATAATTAGTATACAATCACTAGTGATTAAGGAACGTATATTTTAACTAGTGAACTCTGTATAATTAGTATACAATCACTGGTGATTAAGTAACGTATATTTTAACCAGTGATCTCTGTATAATTAGTATACAATCAATAATGATTAAGTAACGTACATTTTAACCAGTGATCTCTGTATAATTAGTATACAATCACTAATGATTAAGTAACGTATATTTTAACCAGTGATCTCTGTATAATTAGTATACAATCACTGGTGATTAACTAACGTATATTTTAACTAGTGATCTCTGTACAATTAGTATACAATCACTAGTGATTAAGGAACGTATATTTTAACTAGTGATCTCTGTATAATTAGTATACAATCACTGGTGATTAACTAACGGTATATTTTAACTAGTGATCTCTGTATAATTCGTACACAATCACTAGTGATTAAGTAACGTATATTTTAACTAGTGATCTCTGTATAATTCGTACACAATCACTAGTGATTAAGTAACGTATATTTTAACTAGTGAACTCTGTATAATTAGTATACAATCACTAATGATTAAGTAACGTATATTTTAACCAGTGATCTCTGTATAATTAGTATACAATCACTAGTGATTAAGTAACGTATATTTTAACTAGTGATCTCTGTATAATTAGTATACAATCACTAGTGATTAAGTAACGTATATTTTAACTAGTGAACTCTGTACGGTTAGCTAATAATTAAAACTTCTTTCGTTTTAGAAATGAAGTACGAACATTCAGAATCACCGGCCACAGGTCATTTCTGGATGTCCAGTGACGTTGTTTTTACTAAGCTCAAGCTGACCAATAAGAAAGATTCGCCTGAAGGGAACGTAAGTTATAATGAATGTAAATTTGAGTTACGTTTAAAAATTTTATACAGTTCAAACTGTCCAGATGTTTGAAACTTTCATACAGTTCAAACTGTCCAGATGTTTGAAACTTTCATACAGTTCAAACTGTCCAGATGTTTAAACTTTCATACAGTTCAAACTGTCCAGATGTTTAAAGCTTTTATACAGTTCAAACTGTCCAGATGTTTGAAACTTTCATACAGTTCAAACTGTCCAGATGTTTAAAGCCTAATCCTCTTTTCTTAATGGTCATCCATCCGCATCTCTCGAAGTCCAAAACGCTGTCCTCGGGTCGATAGTGACCCTCGCAATTTTCTTTCCATCGAACCGTCACAGTTTGACCCTGATAAAACAAGACCCATCTTTCCAAAGCGTTCAGTTATAGAGTTTTGTCTTTAAAATGTGTATCTTTTAACCTACGGGGTTCCTCTAACGTCGTGAATCTAATGATGAACAAATGTTTATCAAATGAATTTTCTTAAGATTTTTTCTTAAATTTGATGGTCTGGATTATCAATGATTTTACTGTTATTTTATAAAACCAAAATGGTTTGTTAAGTTCAAACACGTGAATCGTGCTACATTGACATGCACTTTACCTTCACCTGTGCCTAAAGACACAGTGGAAGTAGGTTTATAGGATGCAAAAATAAATCAAAGAAGACCTTGATAGTGGGGGGGGGGGGGGGGGTTAGGAGAAAGAAAAACGAGGTCTCCGATACAAGCCCAGTGTTTTGTGTCAGTCTCTTCGATATTAAGCGAATTTGACGTACATTGTTTAAATACATTAGTTATACAGTGTTTAATACATGTATAAAAAATATTTAGTTAACTCTACATTAAAAACAATGATCCATGCCAAGCAATGTTCTACTTTGTAAACTGTTTTATAGTTGGTGATAAAACTACACCTTTAATATGTGAAAAGTCAAAACCACTTAATGTGGTTAAAATAAACACTAAATTATTGAGTGGTTTGATCTTGACTAGTGTCACGCCACGTTTCTAGAACTATCTTGTTCCTTCGTGAATGCCCTAGCATTTACTAGATATAGGGTAGTCTGGTATATATAAGAGAGTGACAACGTGACGGGACAATAATGTGTGTGTAGGTAGTGAGTAATTGAACTGCAGTCAG